CTCAAACTCTGAGAACACAACTGAACACATTTAGAGACTGACATTTGTCAGTTACATGGCGGAGGGGGGTGTGAGGAGTTTTAATTTCCTGTGGAAATTAAAATAGTTTAGTAGGATATGGGTCCTTTAGACTGTAGTTTATTTTCAGGACAGATTTTGGAATGGATATTTCATATATTCATATTTCTAAAGCCCCTTAACAGTTATTTCTAAAAATCTTATTGAAAACACAGTACTTTAAAATTGAAATTTGTACAATTATGTCATTGAAAAAGAAAACAATACCAAAAAGAAAATCCAACCCAGTCCATTCTTCATTCGTTCATTAGTGCAAAAGACTGAGCGATTAGAAAGTATTGAGCACAGGGTACACTGTAACCTGAAGATTATGTTGCATAAATAATGTACAGATTTAAAAAATGATAGCTCAATAGTGTGCCCACAAACTGAATGGCATTTTTCTTTAATAACCTCAACTTTCCTGTGACCCCAGATATCTGTAGATATTGCTGGTCTCATCAGTAATTTTTTATTAAACGCCAACTATATTATTTCTGCCAATCATATCTTGACATATTTGGGGTTAGTTCACTGCAATTCCTTTATTTCTCAGTGAACATTAACTCAGGCATAGCACTTTCTAGCTTAAAGCAATGTTTTCCTTCTTCTGCCTCAGTTGTAAATCATGGTAACAGCATGTAACGATTTTGTGTCACCTCCTGATCCCAGTGAAAGAATCTTTATATGTAAAAAATGTGTTACACCATAGGTTAGGAGAAACTGACAGTTAAAACAGCAAGTGCAAATGGACTGAAGTTGTTCTATAGTCGGTAATATTTTTTCAGTACAAATTTCACATTGATTTCCTAATTTGGCAAAAGCAAGTGCAACTCCCATTGGAGTCAATAAGCTCCAGTCATTTCAAGGGGAATGCTGAATTTGGTCCTTAATGTGCATAAGTTGCAGCAGCATAGCCACTGTGGGCAACAATGGCTCTTTTGATCTTTCAGGTGACTAAACTGCAAAGGGAGAAGGATTTACACACTAGAAAGTGCATGCACCAGCTATAGGATCAAGGCCTTCAGGGAAAGTATTTCAAATATTCTCATTCAAAAGTAAAGGTGACATTGTGTTCTTTGCTCACGTTTTCCCTCTCTTGCAATGCCAGTAGATAGGGGGCAAACAGTGTTAACTTTATGCTCTCCTGGCTTTTGCCAAACTATTTTCCTCCAAACCCGAACCTTGGTTACACATATTTGCTCCTATTGTCATTCAGTCACAGCTGGTATTCAGACTGTGCCACATTACCTTTCTGAGTGGGAGGCTGGTGTAGGTTGGTGCTGCTGCTGCTGCATCTGTTGTTATCATCACTCTCCTCTGCTCTCATTTTCCTGCACTGCTGATTGAGATCCTCCGCATTCTGCACAGGTACCATTGCCATTTCACCGTTCTATTCCACACTTCAGGGGAGAAACACTTCACAGGTCAATTGTCCTTCCCGGGCTGTCAACAAAGGTGCAGGTAGTTATTTTCCTCATGGCAGCATGATACAGAAGCTTACAGAACCTAAATGTAAGGCACAAAGTGATTTGTGATGAACAACTTTGTTTCTATTTCAGAAGGCTTTGCCCTTTCCAGTGACACTGGCTGTTGCTATTCTTGGTAGCCTATCACAGGCAAGTGGGAGGGACATCTTTCAGAAGTATTGTTTTTGCCTTTAAACAAACAGTTGAAGACATTAGGCATTCACATAGGGCTCAAGGCACATTCTTTAGCCATTAGCTTAAAGGATCTCTCCTATGTTAATGTACCTTTTTAAAAAACAGAAGGAACACGAGGGGGGATTTAAACTGTTTGCTGTGTCAGCTAAAGTTAGGGCACTGAATACGCACAGCTGGTATCAATTAATTCTTTTTGAACCATGAACAAGTTATTAAGAAACATTCTAGAGAGCAAATCAGCAGCAGTCTTTCAGCCTCTGAGTGTAGTGCTCAGTGTATATATTTAATCATCTATACTGTGCCAGAGTTATGCATGGTACTTTACAGATAAATAAAAAGGCAGGCAACGGCTACACGAGTATATAGTCAAGAGCCCAACCCTTGGCACTGCTAAGTACCCATAATTCCCACTAACTGCAACCAAAGAAGGGGACAACAATAAACAAAGAGTGGAGGGAAAAGCAAGACAAGGTTACAACAGTGAGAGATGAGCTATGTACTAGGGTCAGATTTTTCAACCTTTACTCACACTGGCGCGCCCCTGCTCCCTTGAGTAGAACCATTGAGATCAGAGAGGCTAGCTGCTCATGTAGGCATTCCCTGAGTTAGCCGCTAGTGTGGTGTCGGCTTTTAATTTTGTTTATTTTTTGCTTTGTTTTTGTTGTTGGGGATAGAATGGGAGTGAAGGCTGGGGCAGAGGGCAGAGGTGGAAGGCTGGTATATCTTATACTAGTAGCAGTTTCAGGAAGGAGCATTCCTTAACATTTTTCACCTTAATTAGAACAGACACCAAACACCCCTTATCAGTCTTGGTTGACAAGGACATTCAACAGAAGAGAACATAAATGTCTTTTCTGACAGGTAGGTCACTGGAAGATCTAGAGGCAGGAACATTTGGATTCCACAATAAGATTCTTGTTGTGGCTTTTTTTTTTTTTTGGCAGTACATTTGGCATTGTGTTACAAGAATCAGACTAATCCTTCTCCCACTGTTAATTTTTTTTAAGAAAATCAATTCAAATAAGAGACATACCAAGGAGTCAGCAGCTCCAGGATGCTGTCAAGAGTCTGTCAAAAAAAAAAAGAAAACCCTCACTACTTCCAGCAAGATCTTATGTTTGTATGCGGTGCATTTAAAAATGAAAAATGAAATGTTTTTCATGTTTATTTTGAATGTTTGTTTCTACGGGAATAAAGCTGTAATTTTGTTATGAAAAATCTGTTTTAATGATGAAAATGAATAATTTTATCTGTGGCAAGATTTCCCTGTGAAAACCTGAGTTGGAGCCAGTCTTTTCTGAGGGCCTACATCTTGCAAGATTCCCAAAGGGTACATCTAGACTATGTTCTTCTTTCGAAATGAGATATACAAATTCGGTGCTAATTTGCATATCTTCTTCAGATTGCTTTTTCGAAAGCGTTTTTTTCGAAAAAGAAAGCAGTTTAGATGTGGTTCTTTTGGGGAAAAAAACCCTTTTTCGAAAGAACCCTGCACACCTCATTTTTTGAGGAAGAAGGGTTCTTTCGAAAAAGGTTTTTTTTCCGAAAGAACCGTGTCTAAATTGCTTTCTTTTTTGAAAAAAACTATGGCTCATCACTAGGTAAGCATGTATGTCAAGATTACATTGATTTGGTTTCTGTGGGTTATCATTATGTTTGCCTTCCAATTGATAGGAGGCTGTTTTGCTGGAAACAGAGACAGCCCCTGAGGAGGTATAAGGATGTTCTGAGAAAACAGAGGAGGCAGCACTGGAAGCACTATAATTAGGTTTATCTCCTCCCTCCTCACAAATGTCAAGAATTTTTAGAGCTTCTACCCTATGCCCACTCCCCCAATAATGTGACACTGCAAATCTTCATAACATATGTACTCCCCACATTCCCTTCACTCACCAGAGCCTAGTGGGGCCTAGACTAGTAGATTTTGTATACTCTAGTCCTGTAGGGAGGTTGTGGGAGTCTGGAGTACCAGCACAGGCTACACAATGCTGGGGGGAAGCCTTGAGCCTCGCAGGCTAGATCCAGGCAAGCCAGGGGCTGCATCTGGTCCCCGGGCCTTGAGTTCCTCACCCATGCTTTAAAACACTTACACAAATGTTTCTTGGGAGCCAAAGGAACTCACAAGTCCTGAAAGTTAAGTTCATGTGCATGATTTTTGCAGGACCAGGGCAGGGCCCTAGTTTCTCTTCCAAGCTGTGGCATTATTTTACCACGTGACACTGCTGTGGTGCATACTTTACTAACTTTACCAACTGAGGTAGCCTCAAGAGATTGCTATTATGTGCATGTGTGGAACTGAAGCCTGTACACAGTGTTACTTAAGAAGATTGTTGAAGAACACAAACAATAATATAAGATATTCAGTTGAAAACAAGTGAACTGACTCATGCATTATTCTGACTAGAGGCTTATCCCTTCTGAATATTTCTGTTGATGCCTCAGTAGCCTCTCATCTCTTCCTTCTTATTTGGCCAGAGAAAAGAGGGTATTACCCTGGCACTTAGGAAAACCTGTTTTCATCTCCTAGCTCCAACAAAGGCTTCCTTGGTGATCTTTGAAAAGTCTCTTTGAGTATGTCTACATTTCGAGCTGGGGGTGTAATTCCCCAGTCAAAGAGTTGTAACTGCTTTTAGCTATGCCTGAATTGTCATGCTAAAACATAGAGTGTAGCCAAGATGGTACGGGCAGCTAACTGCTTGCACTGCTGCAGCTACATTCTGTTTTCAGGATATTAGCTTGGTCATTGCTAGTGTGAGTGTATCTCCTCAAAAGGAATTACTCCCATAGCTCAAAGTACCACCACACCCTCGGTTGAATTAAGTTATGCAACTCCAGTTACATTAATTACATAGATGGAGTTGACATACCTTATTTCGAGGTTCCATACGGTGTCAACAGAGAAGGCCGATGGGAGCAAACATTCCTGTCAGCTTCTCTTCCTCCCCATGAGGAGCAGGAGCATCAGCCCCCAAGGGGGGGGGGGGGCGAGGAGAGGGGCTCTGGGTTTGATTTAGTGGGTCTTTACTAGATCCACTAAATCAAACTCCAGAAGTTCTAATGTGGTAGCTTTGATCTTCTGCGTAGAGAAGACATATTAGTTTTAACCTAAACTTGAACTAATCCATTTTAAGACGATTCTATCTTGTAATATGATTTACTCAACATTGAATGAACTACCTTCTCTCCTGTATATTATTTTCTTATATATTATTTTCATTAGTTTATGGTATATAAGTTACGTTCTTCATCATTCCTCTATTGTCTATGTCCCAGACCACTTATTTGTATGGCTATTTCTGTATTCGCTCTGGGCCAAATCCTGGAGACTCTGCTTAATCTTTACTATGGCAAAACTCATGTTGAGTAAGAGTGTATTTGAAGCAGAGCTGAATAAAAGCATAATAAGGACCTCCCAGCACAGGCCAATATTTTCTGCCATACTTCTGACAGTGTGTTGCATGCAATTTTATAATACAAACAAGAAGATTGAGACTATGACTGTGGCTCCCCATTAGGAACAATGGTGTTTGAATTTAGAATGGGCACTGAGGGAAGTCACTGTGGCCATTGGCTTATCTCTCCCCTACTGCACTTTGTGGCATATTGGGAGTATCTACATGACACATAGAAATCATAATAACATAAGAATGGCCATGCTGGGTCATCAAACCAAAGATCCATCTAGCCCAGAATTCTGTTCTCCAACAGTGGCCAATGCCAGATAGCCCAGAGGGAATGGACAGAACAGGTAATCCTCAAATGATCCATCCCCTGTCACTCATTTTTAGATTTTGGGCTTACCATTTACAACATGTTGGTGAATTTATGACTTCTGTGTGAAAACGGACAAGGTTATACAAAGGAATAACTGACTAATTTGCCAAGATTGAACAAAAACAATGTATTTGTCTCTGGTTCTCAGAAACTTCACATTTTGGAGATGAGATAGGGTACAGGACAGTGGAGTGAAGATAAGAGATAACTGAAGTGGCTCACAAAGATTGGTAATAAAAAATAGGACTGTGTAGCACTTTAAAGACTAACAAGATGGTTTAATAGGTGATGAGCTTTTGTGGGCCAGAGCCACTTCCTCAGATCAAATACGTATTTGATCTGAGGAAGTGGGTCTGGCCCACGAAAGCTCATCACCTATTAAACCATCTTGTTAGTCTTTAAAGTGCTACACAGTCCTGTTTTTTGTTTCAGATGCACCAGACTAACACGGCTACATTTCTACCACAAAGATTGGTAAGTGGATCTACATATTGAGGTGAGATAAAGCTGTACCTGAGTGAGAATTGGAGAGACATATTGAGAAGACAGAAGTAGCTGTGAGAGTTGTCTAAAGTGACTCCTCTCAAGATTTGTTTGGAATTACTTTTTTCAGGGTTTTTAATGCCCCAGTTCAAGAAACTGCAAAACTATATTCATTACTCATATTTGAACTATGAGCATTTCTCTCTCAGATGTCAGAGGAAAATGCTTCCCCTAAGTGAGCATGGGAACTACTAATTGTCTTAGAATCATAGAATACAAGAACTGGAAGGGACCTCGAGAGAGATCAACAGCTTGGCACTCAGCTAGATATAAAGGGATTTTTGCCAAGTCAGTCAGTAACCAATCAAGAGTAACTGAACCCACATTTCAGCATTTGAGAGAATCTATTCACGCAGTAGTGGCTGAAAAATGAGACATCAATATTAGTGTGAAATTATATCTTACTATAGGGAAAAGGACTGGCAGTAAACAATGAACAGAAAGAGAGGAAAAACAAGCAGTTCATGCCTAAACTCTACAGCTGAGAAGACCATAGGAAAAGATTATAAACCAGTATGTCCACAGTGTACTTGCTGCTGGTCTACAGAGCGCTGACTGGTCACAAAATGATGTCTCCTCCCCTTATTTCCAAAGGAGAAAAACAGGA